CATGTATGAGTGAAATCCTGTGCTATTTGTCTTTCTCTGCTGGCTATTTTATCTTTAATTGTATAGTATCTGCTTAATGCAAAACTTTTGGAAAAATGGAAAGAAATACCCAGAATCCTACCACATTACTAATATTTCAGTGTATATGATTATAGTATTTTTTTTTTTGAAGATTTTATTTATTTGACAGAAATAGAGCTAGAGAGCACAAGCAGAGGAAATGGCAGAGGGAGAGGGAGAAGCAGGCTGTGCACTGAGCAGGGAGCCCGATGCGGGACTTGATCCCAGGACCCTGGGATCATGACCTGAGCTGAAGGCAGACGCTTAACCATCTGAGCCACCCAGGCACCCAGTATTTTTTTTTTTTTTAAAGATTTTATTTATTTATTTGACAGCAGTGAGAGGGAACACAAGCAGAGGGGGAGTGGGAGAGGGAGAAGCAGGCTTCCCGCAGAGCAGGGAGCCTGATGTGGGACTCGATCCCAGGACCCTGAGATCGTGACCTGAGCCGAAGGCAGATGCTTAACGACTGAGGCACCCAGGCGCCCCTACAGTATTTTTTTTTAGTGTGAAAATAAACATGTTCCTTTTGCTAGCCGCTCTTTAAAAATAAGCTTATCTTACATTGTTTTGTTAGCCTGCCTTTCCCCCAGCATTTATGTCTGTCTGTCAGGCAACTTGTTAAATATTAGGTATATAAAAATTAATGGATAGGACTTTACTTAATCTGCTTTGCAGAAAGTGACAGTACAATTCTTCCCATAGGTTGCATCTTGCCTGGTTGAATCACATTTCTTTTGGTCTTCTATATTCATTCTTAGACCCCAGTAGGTACTAACCAACTACATAGTCTTGCTTATTTTAACACACAAGTACTTTATTTAAAAAAAAAAAAACTTTTTAAAAAGTAGGCTTGAGGGCGCCTGGGTGGCTCAGTTGGTTAAGCGACTGCCTTCGGCTCAGGTCATGATCCTGGAGTCCTGGGATCGAGTCCCACATCGGGCTCCCTGCTTAGCAGGGAGTCTGCTTCTCCCTCTGACCCTCTTCCCTCTTGGGCTCTCTGTCTCTCATTCTCTCCCTCTCAAATAAATAAATAAAATCTTTAAAAAAAAATAAAAAGTAGGCTTGAGCCCAATAGGGGGCTTGAACTCATGACCCTGAGATTAAGAGTTGGACTATGCCTAACCATCTGAGCCACCCAGGTGCCCTTTTAACACACGTAAACTTTAAAAAGGATACCTTTTAACTTTGCTGACAATTCTTGAGAGGATAGTTAATCTTGATATACATACACTTGTCTATTTGTAGAAGGGATTTGAGACAGTGTAAAGTCAAGATTTAACAAGACTGAATACCATTACGTCCAGAGCCCAGCAAAAAAAAAGGGGGGGGGAGTAGCGTTATAAATATGAGTAATATCCAGCAGAGGCAGACAACCAGATCCAGTTACTGTAGGTATTTTATTCCAGTGTAGTCTCAACTAGCAGTTCTCAGAATGTGGACTGGAAGCCCAGGGGATGTCTCCAAGACCTTTTTAGAAGAGCTGTGGGTCAAAACTCCTTTCACAGTAATGACAGTAATGACAGTGTGTGTGTGTGTTTGCACTCATGTTGGCAGGAGTGTACAGTGGAGTTTTCCAGGGGCTACATGAAACATAATAGTGGGTCAAAACTCCTTTCACAGTAATGACAGTGTGTGTGTGTGTGTGTGTTTGCACTCATGTTGGCAGGAGTGTACAGTGGAGTTTTCCAGGGGCTACATGAAACATAATAGTGGAACACATTGAACACAGGGCAGAAGAATCCAGCTCCCTCCTATTAAGTGACTAAATTAAAGAAATCCGTGAAATTAAGAGTGATACTTTATTGTTTTCCTGAAAAATGCTTATATGCATTGGGTGTGTTTTTAAATATTTAAAAAAAAAATTAATGTGGAAAATACAGACCTCCCCCCTCCCTGAAGTGGAAACACTGGAGACCGAAGAACCACTGGTTGAACCTAAAGGATACTGAGTCTCTATCAGAAATCCATACCCTAGCCTCTCAGAATGATTTGTCTTTTTACATTGGCCTTTCACATGAAGCATGTCTGCAATAAACTGAGCTTTCTCAATTTCTAGGTCGGTATCTCTTCCTGAACGCCATTGCAAATCAGCTGCGGTACCCAAATAGCCACACTCACTACTTCAGCTGTACCATGCTGTACCTTTTTGCAGAAGCCAACACTGAAGCTATCCAAGAACAGATTACAAGGTAAGGGAGAAGTTTTTTAGATAATTCTAAGTGGTGCCTCTTCCCCTTTATTATGATTTTTTTTTTTTCAGTGTTCATTGAGTATCTTCTACAGGTTCATTTAAGACATCTTTTACAATGTGTTAAATAGGATGTAGTTGTGAGCAAAATGGACATTGTTCCTGCCCTAGCAATTAATTAGTCTGATGGACACAAAATGACAAGTAGAGAATTACAACTTGTTTTTAATGAAAGGTACCAGCATTTTGATTGAAAGTCAACAGTTTCTCTCAGGTGGTGGTGGTGATGACATTTTTTATTCAGATTCCTGAATCCACACAGGCCTGTTAAAAGCCATGTTAAAGAGCTTGGGCTTTTCTTTATCCTCTAGGTTGAGAAGTTTGAAGGAGAAATAAGATGATACTTGTGGGTTTTTTTTTCCTTTTTCTTTTTTGATATAATGATGTGTTGCAGATTGCTTAGACTGTGTATATAGTTTGGAGATTGGGCAATGGGTAGATTCTGGTGAGAGAGAGATACACGCATTTTAAAAATGCGTGGCCAGACTTTAAATCTGATACCGTCATCCTTACTTTTTACCTTAGCTCAGTCTTCTAGGCTAACGGGAAGAGGCAGGATTCAAACCCAGGTTTTCTAATTCCAGAAACCACCTGCATTAACCATGGTGGGGGGTGGGTGTGTGTACACGTACGTACCCACCTGTCCTTAGTAAAGCTAGTAATTTTTGCCTGTAGTTTAGTAATCAAGAAAAAAAGGTAAAGGAGATAAATATTTAGGTTTCTGTATGCATTACCTAATCTTTTTTCCCCTTCAGGGTTCTCTTGGAACGGTTGATTGTAAATAGGCCACATCCTTGGGGTCTTCTTATTACCTTCATTGAACTGATTAAAAATCCAGCGTTTAAGTTCTGGAACCACGAGTTTGTACACTGTGCCCCCGAAATTGAAAAGTGAGTTCAAAGTAATTTTTTAATTGTCTAAGAATGAGAAACATATAATGGGTGATTAAGAAGGTAACGATAGCCAAAGCTAATGTGACCCAAGGTACTGCCAGGTCTGAAATTTTTCTCACAAACTTGTAATTGTCTCTGTTCTTAGGTTATTCCAGTCGGTTGCACAGTGCTGCATGGGACAGAAGCAGGCTCAGCAAGTAATGGAAGGGACAGGTGCCAGTTAGATGGAACTGCATCTCTGCTGTAAATGTGTCAGCCTGGAGGTCCCACTGCACCAGGTTTATAAACTGGCTGAAGAATCCTTTCAGCTCCTCCTGACTTTCCCAGCCCTTTGGTTCTCGGGTACCTGCCCCAATTACTGTTTGGGTCAGCTTCCTGTGTATGTGGGCACGTTCCAAAGTTTAAATGCATTTTTTTGACTTGGCCAAAATTTAGAAGATGCTGTGAATATCATTTTGAACTTGTGTAAATATATGAAAGATAAAACCTTTGTCTGGAACTTCTTGGGTTTGTGCAAAATGTGTCCAAGGCAAGTAGATAAACTTGGTACCTGCCCAGCTTGTAACTGAAAGGCTGTTGCCGCCATGCACTTGTCTGGGGATATAACATAGCTCCATGTCTTCTGACATTCCTGGTGTCCCAAAGAATAGCAAAAAAGCCAGTTTAAATAATGTGTAACTTATTTTTTTAATGTGGACAGGGGACCCTGAAAATCATAAAGTTGTTAAATACGTGTATGTGCTACTATTTGGTATGCTTAGGGAACATGGGAAGAGCTCACAATTGAGATCCCATGGATTTTAGTTCTGCCTCTTCCCCAGATCTAAAGCTGACTGCTGGGAGAGCATCATTTTCTCATTTCTACTGGAGAACTACCCCCTTAGGCCCCGAGATGCAGTCAGCTCTTTTTATAAAGGGAAACCAGACCACACCTAAAAGTGTCCCTGGCTCTCTCCTCATACTTGTAAATTGTGGGAAAGGGGACTAATAGTGTATGAACTGCCCTTCCCCATCATCCCAGTGAATAGCCGTATAGGCTATGTTGAACAACAAAGTCAAAAGGACCAATACAGCCCCTTTTTTAAGGATTTTGAATGTTTTGTAAATGTATTGGTCCACGTGTTGTATTTTGTAGCCTTTCTAGTTCCTGGGCTCTAGCTCCCTTGTATGTGTATGCATACTGTAGTCAAACATTAAAGTCATGACACACACGTGAGTCCACTGTGCCTTTCTCAGTAGCAGCAGCCAGTGCTGGTGGTGAGGAGGAAAGTGGACCACCCAGGCTCAAAGAGCCTGGGGCCATTGGGAAACATCACTTCTCGCTAATGATAGATCTTTCCCGCTAATCTGGCATGTTTCAACAGAAAATCACTGGAGCAGGTTTCTTTGGTTAAAGAATTACAAAACATTTTCCTTACCCTTCCTCATGGTATTTTGATATATTTAAAATTTATGCCACTTAAAATACACCTTACTTTTAATGATTGTCAAGTTTTATGGCCACAGAGGACAAAAAGGTTCAAAATTAAATAGAAATTTTAACGAGTAAGGTTTGAATGTCATTGGTGTCTTAGGGTTTCTTCCCTTAAGGGTGAGTTGTCCTTAAGGGTGAGTTGTGCCATCTAGAGCAAACCTCAGACTGCTGAGTGCCAGGGCCATAGCTCGTCAAACCCTCGAACAGGAAACTAAGTCTTGGAAAAAAGCTTGTTCAAAATTGAGACCCAGGTCTCCTTTTTACTAAATGCTAGACTACAGTGAAGACCTTAATACTGTCACATTTCTGCTAACTCTGGTTCAAACTGAGAATAAAGCAGTTAAAAGATTTATTGGTCTTAGTAAACCATCAGCAATTCCCAAGTCTGCTGTGCCCAGTCACAGTTCACCCTTACCTCAGAGTTAACCCTAGCACACCACCTCTGCTCCTTTTCCTTTTGGTGTTTAATAAAAGGAAAAGCAAAAGATCCACATTTTCCTTTTTTTCAACCATCAGTGAACATTTGAATAAAGTTCTTCTCATCAATGTTCCTTCAGGCAACACGGAACCTGTTAAGTTGTCAGTTCCAACAACTGATGTAAGATCATCTTCTGACCATAGCGAACCTGCAGGGCCTGCTGTTCCCTCCAGCTGAGTTTGGTGTAGACCTCCTTGTTACTGAGTAAATCTTGTTCAGATTTTAAGTCTGTGGCATAGGTTTGCAGGGTCAACAAAACACTGTTCCGAAGAAGCTGTTTCCATGATTCTTTGAGATTGGGGATATTTGTGATTGTCAAGCTGTCGTCTTCCCTTTTATTATCTCCCCATCCATCCTTCTCTTTAAACTCTCTGAACTCTTCAGCAGGCATGCATAGGACCTAGAAGCAATCATTGGGCCTTTCAATTAGGCATTTAATTGCCCTGTAACTGAATTTCTGAATTTAGAGAAGCCGATCTTAGCAGCATTTAAGTGTGCTCTCCCTCCATCCCATGTTTCCTTTCTCATTTGGCTTTATCTAGTTCTAAATACAGTGGCCATTGCTCAGCCCCTTACCTTGAGTGTGGTGGTTAGTTCCTCTTCAGTCAGTACCTCCTCACGCCCAATCACAAAGGCTCCCTCTTCCCCAACCATCTCCAGTTTGCATAAGAAATCCCAGCGTTCATGCAGTAGGAGCCTTTCAGCTTCAGCTTTTGTTCCTGTAGATAGTAATAGTGTCAAAGTCTGCATATACCCAGCAGTTCCTTTCTTCTTAGTCTACTACCCGGTCTCCAAAAAACGGGCAACTGCTCTCTTAGAGACATGTCCACTGGTGTCCCAAGATTGGATCAGACACTCACCCTGTAATGCTGCTTCACGAACTGTCACCATCTGAATGTCAGCTGTGTCATCCGTGTTGTCAGGATATGGTTCAACAAAACCATACATATGAATCAGTTGCCAGTTAGCCATTTGCCCGTAGGTGTTGAAAATTTCATGGCCTTTAGGAATGGGCTGAGTGGCCACCATCCGAAGACAATTCTGGGGTGGAAGGGAGAAGCTTGGACCAGGCCCAACACATGCCTGCCCAGCCCCATGAAGATTAAGTCCCTCTTAGGAAGAGCTTTCCAGTGGGTACAGTTCAGCAATGGGACTGATGATAGATACCTACCAACATTTTACTTTTAGTTCCTATTAAGATCCTATATAGGCATACCTCAGAGATTGTATGTAGGTTCAGTTCCACACCACCACAAAAAAAAGCAAACACTGTTTTAAAAAAAAGTCCCAGTGCCTATAAAAATGTACCTGTCTTAGAAAACAGCTTTTTTTGCTAAACAGTGCTAACCACCATCTGAGCTTTCTGTGAGTTGTAATTTTACTGATCAGATCACCAAAACAAATACAGTAATAATGGAAACGTTTGAACTATTGCAATTCTTGCAATTTTAATTCTTCCCAAAATGGGACACACAGACATAAAAGTGGTGTTGGAAAAATGGCACTGATAGACTTGCTCAACACAGGGTTGCCACAAACCTATTTGTAAAAAGTACAATATCTGAAGTGTAATATGCCTGCACAGTAGGATGAAAGAGGTGAGACAAAGGTCAAGTTCAGCCTCATTGATTAGGTGAACCTCTCCTCAGTCATCCTCAGTACTTAAAAAACTGCTTTTAGAAATGAACAATTAAACCCAAAGTAGGAATGGCAGATGGAGGCCAGGATTAAAAAACAGCCATTCCCTAATTCCATAAACTTGGATCTTTTCTTGTAACTTTCCACCTAGCAAATGGAATTGATAGAACCCTGGTATCATCTTAGACCTGACCTATGACCATCCCCTTTCCCTCCCCTTCTTCCCAAAAAGTACTGACAGTACAGCCAACCTCTAGGACCAAATAAATGATGGCAGTAGCTTAGCAGAGAAATAAACACAACTTACTTGGTGGGTATTGAGGTTCTGTGTTCAAACTATTTGAGTGGAATATGCAAACTAAACAAGAAAAGCTAACTTCACCTATGCCTTTTTATCATGAGGAGAATGGACCCCACTTAGCCCAACTACCAGGCCAGCATAAATGACAGGCACTGGTTTGAATCAAATGCCTGATTGTCAGCGCACATAAGAACAAGAACTGAGAGGGATCCACTCACTGGAGAGTATTCTAGATTGGCATTATGATTGGCTAAATGGTTTAGTATGTCTGCAGCAGGCACCATCAAAGGGGAGTTTGGCTCCTTTTCATCATCCTCTTCCTCCAGTGGTTCCTGAAAGCTGCCACAGAGAGAACTTTGCTAAAGCCCAGTGTAGGGTGAGAGACTGGGGTGTGGTTCATTGTTCTTTCCCCTCTCATCCCTCAATAGAGTTCTAAAGAAAAAAAGTCCTGCAAGGTTCCTCTCACTGACCTGTAGGCCATCACAAGAGCCACGAGCTGGCGGTAGAGTTCCAGGGAGCGGACCCTGGGGCTGAAAAGATCGGGGTGGGCTTCCATGAAGGGCAACACGATGGAACAGTATTCGCTGCGGATGTTGGCCAAGTCCTTCTCCACGGCCTCCGGTACACCTGTGCCCTGCAGCAGTCGCCGGCGCTCCTCCTCGGGCCTGCAGTGACACCCCACCCGGGTTCCCTTCACACACCCCACCGGGACTAGTGCCTGGGAACCCGGTCGCCGGGCCAGGACGCTTCGAGCCAGGCTCCGGTGCTGGTGCTCCCCACCCCTACTAAGGCTCTCACCAGAACATGGGGTGCTCCAAGCGGCCCAGCTCCGGCCAGAGCGCAAAGTAGGGGCTCCAGGGCGAGGCCGGGGCCTGCAGCTCGTGCAGCAGCGCCAGCAGCAGCGGCACCCAGCCCGACTGGCTCTGCAGCGCGCCTCGCTCTGAGGGAGACACGGAAGTGAGAGACGCGGCGGTGAGAACCCCGGCGCCGCTGCGCGGCCCGCCTCCCGGTCCCATCCCCGCCGGCGCACCCACCTCGCTCCAGCAGGCCGCCGATGGAGCAGGTGTGCTGCGACAGGAGCGCGGCCCGCGGCACGGCGAACAGCAGCTCCCCGGGCTGCACGCTCTCCCGGGCCACCATGCCGTAGCCGGCCACCGTGCCCTGCCGGCTCACCGCCACCTGGACGGGGGAGCGGCCGGTCCGAGCGAGCCTGCGTCCCCGCCGCGCCCGCCCGCCCGCACCCCCGCCTCCTCACCTTGGGACTCAGCTCCAGCCCCACCTGCCGGCACCAGCTCAGGAAACCGGCCACCGGGTCCGGGTCCGCGTCGCCGCCGCCCACAGGCCCCGCCACCTGGAACGAGCGAGCGCCGTGGAGAGGACCCGCCCCGGAGAACGCGCGGGACGCGGGAGGAGACGGAGGCGCGCGCGGAGGATGGGCTCTGGGTGGGGGAGGGGACGCGGAGGGCGGCCAGGGACCCGCGCGAGCGAGGGAGGAGAGGCGCGGGACCGCACTGCGGGCGCGGTAGGGAAGAGGAAACGGGCGGACCCCGCTCCCGTCCCCCGCGACTTACCCGCCCGCGCTTCGCCTGCGTCGCCATTGTCGAGGCCGCTCGGCCCCGCGGGTCAGGAGCTCCGCGCTGGTGCTTCCGGCGTCCCGGGAAAGGCCTGTGGGGGGCGGGGCTTGTAGCCCCGCCCCGGCGCCACGTGACGTTCGTCCCGGAGTCCACGCGGAGAGCGATGGGGGTTTGCACCTGGTCAAGTCATTCCTCCTGAGAACGTCCTTCCGGAGCCCGGGTGTAGAACACGGGCGGTCCAGTCCGGGAAGACGTATCTCTGTACCGCCTCGAGCCTGGTTCTGAGCAAGGCTCAACTCTCTCCCCTTTGGTCCCCAGGAGCTGAGACATTTCGGAGAAGTCCAGGTGAAGAACAAAATTCAGTTTCTGGATACCAACGCGAGGGCCTCCCGGCTGACCTGCTGTGAGCGCACTCAGGTGGGCGGGCAGCCTGCCGTCCTGATCGGGACTCCTCGTTAGCCAGGGTAATGGAACCATTTTATTTGCTCAGAGCAGGTGTGTGCGCGCGTGCGTTTCGGAGTGCCGTGGGGCAGGTTGTATTTCCGAGGGGCATGGGAAGTGTTCCCAGAACTGGAATAACCCCCCTGTGCCCGCACTCGCTAGTATATCCCTGTTTTTCATCATACGCATAGCACATGGTGGGTTTTTTTTATTTACGTGCTTTATTAGTTGACATATAGCAGGTACTCTGTGTCTGTTTATTGAGTGAATGAGTCAGAAATGGTGGCTAAACATAACAAAGTAGCATGCTGTTAAGAAAATGAAGCAGGGTTTTGAAGTCCTGCAATGCCAAAGCCAGCTCCTAGCTTGGCTTCTTAGGGCAAATCCCTTATCCTGAAGCTCCGTTTCCTCAGCTGTGAAACTAAGATAATATATATCTTGTGGAATTAATGTAAGGATTGGTGGGGCACCTGGGTGGCTGTTAAGCATCTGCCTTTAGCTGGGCTCGTGATCTTAGGGTCCTGGGATCGCCCAGCTGAGCTCCTGCTTCTCCCTCTGCCTCCCCCCTCCCCCACCCATGTTCTCTCTCAATTCTTTTTAAAAAATGTAAGGATTGTTAAGATAATGTGTTAAGAAATGGAAATAAGTGGGGCACCCAGCTGGTTCAGTTGTTAGAGCATGTGACTCTTGATCAACCAACGGGTGGTCCTGAGTTCAAGCCCCAAGGCTGGGGGTAGAGTTAAAAAAAAAAAAAACCCAAAAACAGAAATAGAAACATGGAATGGGAACTCCTGCACACTCAGTCCCACCTAAACCCAGGAAGCACCAACCTCAACGTGGCCTCAAAAAGCTTCCCGTGATGGGCCTGGCGTCACCATACTCAAATTCTTCTTCATTTCCTTATTAGTTTGCCAACACAGTTAGCTCTTTCTACTTTGACAAGGGTTTTTATTTGTTTTACATTTTGTCATCTCAAAGTTTCATGACATCAGCCACCAGAATACACAAAATTAGGTTCTTCACTTTATACAGAGAGGAAAATAATAAACTCCATTAAAAGTTCACTGTGACCAGAGACAACCTCCTATGGAAAACCACACGCAGGAAGACCCAATATACATATATATATATAATGTATAGATATTTATAGATATCTCATCTGAACACAGAAAAAAAAATCCAAGGTCTGCAGCGCTATCTACAGTAAGAGGGATTAATTCTACCAGCTTTTCAAACAGTCACATTTGATATTCAAAGGAAGCACATGAGTGAATAGAACTAGGGACAGACTAACACTCCACCAGGCTCTAGAGCAGTCTAGTAATGGCTTAAGATTCTAGAAGGGGGTGATATGTGCCAAGGAAAGATGGATGCAGGTGTCCGCGCAGCCTCAGAGCACCTCACAACAACTGTCCCCTCCGCAGCCCTGCAGTTTTCATTGCTCTCTCCCCTCATTTCAAAATGGGGTTTGGCAATTGATTTAGGCTCCAAGACCAGTGGCTCTGGTTTTTGGGCCAGGAGATTCTCCCTGATAGTGTGGGTGGGTGGGATGTGTATGGCACAGTCCTGGGCTTCAGGTGAAAGGAGGGGACTAGGGTGTATGGAGAGCCTTTCTCCTCTGCCTGGCCCTTGTTCACTTCAGAAACCTGGGAGGTGACTCCCACCCCAGGACCCAGCAAGCCCCAGCCCAAGCCACTCCAGTGGTTCTGAGATGGCAGTGGGGGCCTGCAGAAGTCTCACTACCTTATTCCATTTCTCTCCAAATAAACTGTCTTCTTAGTGATGCCCACAGAAAATATTGGCATAGCTTGACCACGACCAGAAACACCACCATGTTTCTGGTGGCCTTGGACACACAGCTGCTGATTGGGTTGTCCTCCATGGAACTGGGAACCTCAGCCACCACTGCCTCCAGCCACATCCTGGCTCCTGAAGGCAGACACCAGGAGGTTCTTGGGTGTGCCCAACCCTCATGGGCTATTTCAGCATTTAAGCTCAGCCCCCAAATCAGGTCCCAATGGAGTTAGAGGATCAGGCAACTTTCTACCACAGGGCCTTGGCTCAGACATGGGACAAGGCCAGGAGGTGGTGGAGTGTGTGGGCTGAGACAGTCTGTGGGGTTCCTGCCTCTTAGGTCCTCTGTGTTCTGTCTTCTTTGGGCAGAGAAACCCTGTTCGGTCCCTGCCTGCCTGGCCCTATATCACCAGGCCAGCCCAGAGAGCACCAGGAACACAGCTGCCTGGTAGGAGCGCCCCCTTGTGGCTATGGTTCTGATGATTGTCACATGTGCAAAAAGAAACAAGATGTGCTTGGTGGAGAAGATGGGGAGAAAAAGGGCCTGCAGAGCTCCAGGGCTCCTGCCTCCTAGTGCTCCCCAATGCTGCCTCCTGGTTTGTCACCTCCGTACCTGAGCTGGACCTCGTGACCTGCTGTCCCAACACACCACCTCAAAACCCCATCCCATCCTCAAATCTGCCTGCCCAAGGGGGTCATCCCATGCTTGCTTCAGTCTAGGAAATTATCCTGGATCTTGCCCAGAGGAGGACTTGAACTCTCTCCTTAGCAAATCCCCTTCCTCCCTGTACCCCGCCCTGACTGTGGGGAGTTGGAAGAGGGGGGTCTAAGTCAGCCAAGTTAACAAGGTGAGTGAGGTGGGGGTGGGGAGGAGTGAGCCTCTCAAAACCATCTGGAGACTGTTCCGCAGCATCTAGGATGAACCCCCTCATCTTTTTAACAAAAGAGAAGTAAAACCATTTCCTCCCCTTGGCCTTCACAAAAATAAACTAAAAGGAAAATGAGCCGGCGGCGTGAGAATGGCAGTGGGACGTCGATGCGGGCGGGGGCAGGTGGGCGTCTCTGCCGGGCCACAGGCTTCAACAGGACACCTCCATGGTGTGGTTGACCTGGCCCAGCCCCTCACTGCTCTCCGAGTGGGTGCAGGCCGGCGGGCGGCTGCCATCCCCCGAGCTGGCACTGGTGAGCGACGCGGTACGAGAGCGGGCGAGGCGGGTCATGCTGGCCGAGGGCACTGTGGACAGAGATGGGAGGGGGGGTGAGGGCGGGTGGGCAGGGCTAGGGGCCGGCAGGCAGGACAGGGACTGACGCAAGCGAAGCGGCCAGCAAGACCCGCTCTTCCAACGGCACAGGGGCCCATCTCAAGCCGCGGCGCTGGTATCTACTCTGTCAAGCCGGGGCCATGCAGCACCAGCACCAGCGACTGAGCCCGAGAGTGGGGGGCCGGGGGGCCCCGCAGAGGCCAGCAGGACCCATCTCACGACAGCTGGCCAGAGCTACGGCCGGAGCAGGGCGGTCTGACTGCGGACCCCTGAGCTGATGTGGGGATGGGACGTATTTCCAACGGTGCCTCCCTCAAGAGGTTGATGGGACAGGGGAGCAGAACTACTTCTGTCAAGGAGGACGAGGTGTGGAGGCCACAGACTGCCTTAAATCCACTTTCTGTCCGTATTCAGACTTTCACAAGCAAGACTCTCAGAGGGCGAACTCCACCTTCCTGAACACAAGTGGCCACCCATCCAGCTCGGGCATGGCCGGACACCCTCGCTCCCAGGGCCAGGCCTGGGCTTTCCCTCTATGAGGCTCTGGTGCCAGCTGCCTGAGCTCGGAAAGCCACACGGCCCATGGCACCCCAGAAGCCAGACTGCTCTCAACCCCGGCCACAACAGAGCCCGAACGTGGGGTGCCAGCCTACTAGGGCCCAGGATCTGTGAAAAAGCAGGAGGACTCTTTTGGGCTTTGGAGGCGAGCAGGACACAAGAAAGTTCCAAACCACAGCAAGATGAGGCCCAGCTGCAGCACTGCACAGAGGAGGGGGGGGGGGGGGGGGGGGGTAGGGGGGCGGGGGTCCATGCATCAGGGGAGGGGCCGCGGGGCTACCTGCTCCTCCACTCAGCCTTCGGTCCTTCAAGTATGCAACTAAGAGAGAAGACAGAGCCAGAGGGGCAGGGTGGGGGAGACAGAACACGGGTGAAGAGCATGATCCGGCGGGGCCAGGGTGTTGCGATAGGTCAGGGAGAGGAGACAACAGGACAGGCACAGAGCGGGCTGGGGCCAGGCCAGAACCTCAGGAAGCCCACTCCTGCCCACCCCCCAAAGTAGCAGCCCTGACACCACTCTGGGAACACTCCTGTTGCCCCTGCTTCTCCAGCCTGGGCTCCGGCACCCAGGGCCTCATGGTGAGAGGGGCTGTGGGGCCTGTGTCCTAGCAGCACCCTCCCCCTTCTGGGCCTCAGTCTCCCCAGGTACAGACTGGGGGAGGCCTGCACAACCTCCTAAATCCTGCCCAGCTCTTGGGCTGCCTGGTGGTGGCTCTCCCGGGGCCCCGAGAACATGCCCCAGCCCAACAAGCATTGCTCGTCTACCCATGTAACAAATATTCAGTGGGCACCCCTGGGGCTCAGGCCCAGCCGCAGAGCTCCTGCTGTGTCCCACTGTTGGCTTGGGCCTCTCTCTGCTCTACTTCTCCACAGAGAGGCCGGCAGGCCCCTGCGGGCCAGAGGCAGTTCCACTCCTGGCTGGGCCTCAGCCTTCCCCCACAGGCCTGTCCTACCCCGGGGGCACAAGCTCCAGAGGCTTAAGTCTGGGGGGAGAGACAAATTCAGGGAGAGGAGTTCTGCTTCCAGCAGGAGAGCCAGGTAGATGGGAGAAAGGGGGGGCATCGAGGAGATATAGTGTGCGCGTGCGCTTGCGTGCGGGCGTGTGTGTGTTTTGGAGGTGCTCATGAGCAGTCTGGGCATCTCATCCCTGCACAAGGTGGAGTCTTGAGAGGAGAGGAGGGTGGCCGTTGCCGCCCCACAGCCCCTATCACCTTGGGGTCTTCACCTATGCCACCCCCAGGTTCAGCCGCCTTTAGCTCTCCCACGTTCCTTCCTCAGGCCCCAGCCTCCAAGGCCCCCCTAATGCCCCTGATACCGTCCAGCACCTGTGACAAAAGCCCTTCTTAGGTGCTGTATGTCTGGCAGGGGAGTGGGCGGTGTGTAGGACTCACCTTTAGGTAGGCTTTCTGGGCGGGAGCCAGCCCCGGGCTCTGGTACCCCAGGCCTGAAGAAGAGCCTACCACCCTCCCGTCGCCATGAGAACAGCGTCCCAAAGCCTCCCCGAGGGCACAGGAGAGCCCGACACAGTCTGGGCTCAGCTACTCACAACTCAGGTGGGGATGTCCTAGAGAGTGCCCAGTCACAGCGGGGAGCAAGTGGTGGGTGGCACAGCATCTGGGCCCCACTAACGCAGACCTCATATGCCCGCAGGCTGCTCAGTGCCACCCGACACCGCACGCCAGCCCCACTGCAGCCTGCCCACCAGCCTCTGGGGCGGGGATGGGGGGAGGTTTACTTACTATAGCCCATGCCTTGCAGGAAGTATTTGAAGGCCTCAGTCAGCTTCCCTGGCTGCAGGACAGAGGAACAATCACATGCTTTGACTGGCTGCCTGGGATTGGGGGGAAGGGAGGCGTCCCCCACCTGGGCTAGATAAGGGAGGGAGGGCCAGGAGTCTCACCTGTGTGACCTGGGGGAGCCCCCCGGAATCTGCCATCTGCAGGGGAGAGAGGGGGGTGAGCTGAGCAGGGGCCACCCCACACCTTGTCCAGGCCTCCTATACCTAAACAGGCTGCCCTGAGCAGACACACTGTCTTGCTCCCACCCCAGGGGACCCCAGGCACGCCCCTCCCTGAGGCTGGGCCCTTGGCTGGGGAGGAAGGCCTCACCTTCAGGAAGGTCGTGGTGGTGGGATCCAGTTTGGAGTTGCACTCCACCTAGGGACAAGGTCAGCAGAGTCAGGCAGCCCCAGCCCCTCGGGGATCAGGGGAGTCCCCTACCGCAGTTGCTAAGGCAGGTTCGAGTCCCAGAGCCGAGGGAGGGCATTCAGGCTGCCTTCTGAAAGTGCAAGCCCCTGCAGATCAGGAAGCAGCCCCCCCCCCGCCACCCCGAGGGACCCAAGACGCTGGGACTCCCCTCACAAGTGCTGGCAGGGCGGGAGTGGGACAGGGGCTGGGCCATGTCCTTACAGGGAGCCAGGGCCACCTCGATGGCAGTGGCTGGGAAAGTGCCAGGGCCTGCGGGGGTCAGGCGGCGAGGTGAGGGAGGGTCAAGGACCAGGAGACAGAGGCCTGCCAGGGTTCAGATGGTCCGTTCCTCCGAGCCCTCCTCCTCAGGCACAGGGAAAGTGTCCTGGGCACACTGCGGGGTGGCCCTGGCTACTCCTGGACCCTAGGCCTCTGTGCTAACGGGGACATGAGGCCTCGGGCTGCCTGCTTCCAGAGCTCCAGTGGGAAAGGTGACAATCCCCAAAGGTAACGGGTGCAAGGGCTAGTCCAAGGATGCACTGCTCAGGGATTACTTCACAGTGAATGAAGCAAACTGTAGAGAAGAGAGCTCCGGCTCTGGGCCCGAAGCGGGTAGAGACTGAGGTGGGGCTGCACTGCTGGGAGGGAGGGAGGGGGTGACGGCAGGCGGTCTGGCCCCAAATCCCTCCAGTCTCCATGCCTCCCTCACTTGAAGGCTGGGGCTGTGCCTGATGGCGATGCATGGCAAGATGGTGGGGAGGTGGGCTGAGAAGTCCAACATCCAGGTCCTGGCCCTGCTGGCCAGAGGCCAATGATGCCCTTACTCCCTCCCCGCCGCCAGTCAGGGCAGAGTCCCTCACTCACCACCCCATCCTCGGCGGGCGCGTTGTCCCCAACCACCAGCATCACTGGGCAGCTGTAGAAACAGAGGAAAAGGGCTGTCTGTCTGGCCCGGGGGGGTGGAGGTGGGCAGGGGCAGGCTGGGGGCGGGGCGGCACACTCACCGGAGCGTCTTGGCATTGGGCACTGTTCCGGGCCGGTTAATGTCCAGGTCTCTGCGGCTGCAGGGAGAGGCAGAGGTGGAGGTGGGCATCTCACTGGATGGGACTGGATCCCGGGGGTCATGTGCCTCAGGGCCCTACCCCGGCCTCCCACAATGGCAATTATGGCCCCATGTCCCAGTCTGGGCCCAGAGTTGGGCTTATGGTTATTGAGTTGTCTCAGCTCTGGAAAAGGCCTCCCAGATCCCAGCTGGTAAACAGAGAGACAGGGATATGCCCTGCACACATAGGGGGTCTTCAGGTCTCCCCTCATGTGGAACTTCTCAGACCCCACAATTCATGTCAGGTGGGCCCTCAGTTTAGCTCTCGCTCCCCCTCGGAGCACTGCTCCGACATGCACCACCACCTGTGCGTGGGGTTCCAGGGTCGGAGAGGGAGGCAGGCCCTGGTCCTCTCATCCTCCATTGTATCCCCAGCACCATGCACACAGCAGGTGCTTAATATTTGTAGGAAAAAGGAAGGAGGGCAGGCCAGTGGGCTCCAAGGAGCACAGCTTGAAAACCAAGGGCTTCATCCAGCCTCTTCTCCATCTACAGATGTCAGCCCTGAGGTTCAGGCTGTGGGGGTCAGGGGTGTTGCCCACATCCCACACTGCTCCTGGCTGGACCGCAATGCCCCAAGGGAAAAGGCGTGGAAGAGCCCAAGAACCAGAGTCCGCAGCCCTGCTCCCCCTCTGCCCTTCAACGGGAGTGACCCTGAGCAAGCAGTGACTCTTCTCAGAGATGCACCAAGCTGCCCATCTGCAAACTGGGGAGCGCATGTGTCCGGCCTTCCTCCTTCTATGAACCCCGACGGAGTGAGCGCTCTGTGCCTGGTGCTGCAGAGGTGAGCCCCACGCTGCGCGCACCTGTTGTACATGTTCCAGAAGAGCTGCAGGTTGGCCTGGTTCACCACGTTCCCGATCTGCTGCCGGTAGCTCTGCACCAACTCTGTGTTGCTCACTAGCTCCTCCTGGGCCCAGGGGGACAGACGGGGGAGGTGCACGGAGGGGAGTGGACAGACAGACGGGGATGGGGTCTCCGAGGGGGCATGCAGGTAGCACAGCCCAGCAGCCCTTGTCCCATTCCCAGCCTGGGTGGGGGGGCGTGGCAGCGGGGCCTCATGAAGTGAGGGGAGGGCTCCACCCAGCTGTGGGGAGGAGGCCCCCCACATCTGTGTCAGCTGAACAGAGTGAGACAGGTCAGACGCCACATAACGCCAACCCAGACCTCCTCCTCCTGCCTGGCTGCGAGGGGGGTACAAGTCCTGGGCACCCCCCGGAGAGTGGGTGGAACCAGGCCCTCTAGAGGCTCCCAACACCCCCAGGTCAGCCACCACCGCTGCTCCCACGTGGGCCCCGCCCCCTTACCTGGCTGAAGAGGTGGGATAGCACCGTGTCAGGTAAAGTGCTGGTGAGGCCGGAGAGCTGTGGGCAGGGCCAGGGGCCAGCGTGAGTGCCACCCCTCACCCTCACCCCCCGCCCTCCCCGGAACCAGCACCACCAGCAGCCCCGTCTAAGCGGACCCACGCTCACCTTGGTGGCCGCCCAGTCAATCCAGCCTTTGCCATTGGGGTCAATGTTCATCAGCACCAGCCCCTCCACCAGGTCGGGGAAGATGAGCTGCAGGGCGAGGGAGACAGGGCTTGGGAGGCGGGAGGGGGTACAGGGAGCCCCCCATCTTCCCGCCAAGAACACGGGCTATCAGGCCGGCCCTGCCTATCTCACAGGTCGCTGGGAGGGTCTGAGGAGGACACGCTCTGCAAGGGCTTCAAGGAGCCGCGGATGACTCCACCGGCCACAGCGGGTCACCTGCCTGGGCTCCCCTTCCAGCAGCCCCTGCTCGCCCTCCTCCCCGCCTGGAACCTTGAGCAGTTCTTTGACTGATTTCGAATCTATGCCTCTAGCACTGTTTTCCACGCCTTTTAGGTCTTTGGAGATGCTGTTCTAAAACTGAGTAAACATCTTCAGTGAAACATTTCGCTTCTTTGTTTCCAGAGAGAAAGCAGCCCTAGTGGAGGACACCAACCTTTCCAAAGCCTGTGTTGTATTCGACCGTAGAAGAGATTCAAATGATTGCTTCAGGTGAAAATGGGGGGAAATGGTAAAATCTACATACGACACTGCTATCCTGTCAAGTTTTTCTGGGGGGACGGGATGATTGGCAGCTAACGAGTGGTTAAGTGCTGAAATCCACACTGGAGTTCAGAACGCTTGGCCTTCTCTTTTGGAAAAAGAAATATTTTAAAAGAAAAAAAAAGGAAATATTTTGAATCCTGAAAATTAAGTTTTTGTCTTCAGAGATGGAAAGCTTGTGAGTTCCTACCCAACGTGAGGATTCTGAAATGCAACTTTTTTTAAACCTTCCAAACATAAGTGTAACTTTTGGTTAAGAAATGACTCACGTTTAAATATTACCCTGATCAGTGTATAAGTGACTAGGAGAATCCTTACTTAGTGGCTAGAGCAATTCGTTGGCGAGTCTGTTGCTCACAGAAATTTGGGCTTTGGCTAATGGCTAAGCAAGTTATCGTTTATAGTCTTTTTTGAGGAAATGTATGGAAAAAGTAATTTTTTTTTAATTTCCTTGGGTGAAAAAAAGAAAAAAAAGGGATTTTCTAAGTGAAGAGCAAGTTGGGAGGAGGGGAAGGAGCAGGAAGAAAGAGCGTATGTTCCTGGGGTTGAAGGGAGTCGTTGCCCCAGGATGGGCGTGGGAGGAGGGAGACTCACCGCAAACTTGGCCAGCACATAAGCTCCAGCTCCCACTCCGATGCCAATCACGTACTTGAACCTGATGGAAAGCATGGCCAGTCACTCCAGGGGCTGGGGGGTAGGCACTTCCCACAACTGCCCTCAGCTGGTGCCCACTGGCTCTGCAGCGGCAGGGGGGGGAGGAGGACCCCTCCGGCCCCCAGCCCAGGGACAGGGTCTGGGTGGGGACTCACCCGAAGTGCTGCACCACACTGGGGAGCATGGCGGCTAGCTGCTCCATGGAGGGGAACTGGTACCTGCAGGCAGAGGGGGAGGTCAGGGCCGGGTGCAGCCTGGGCCACAGAGCTGGGGAAATCCGGACGGGGGGCTCGCTGGTACCTACCCCTGGGGAAACTGTGACGCCCCCACCTGCTGACCAGGGGCGTCCACGTGGCACACCACGAAGTGCTTGGTGATCTCCTGCATGTCCTCGAAGTTGAAGAAGGTGTTGAAGCACAACTTGTCTGCAAAGACACACCTGTCAGCTATGGCTCAGCAAAGGGGTCGGGGGGGGCCTGTGGGCCTGAGAGGGAGGGCAAGGTGGACGTGCTCAGCCTCACGGGCCAGCAGGAACACCGAGCCCCAAACGGCTAAGGTCACAGACCTGAGCGTGAGTGGGGACCTAGGGGGTCCTGTGGGGAAGGAGGGGAGGCTGAAGCAGGCAGGATGGGGCCAGGGTGCACTTACGATTGAGGCCCACGTCATGGTAGGTGAGGATGGCAGGGCGGTTCCCTTTGGGGGAGCCCCGGATCACAACATGCAGCAGGCCGTAAGGTGTCTCAATGTCATGTTCCTGGAGGGGAAATAGCACGGGACGCTGTGGGCAGCCCTCGCTCCTGGCTGTGGGGCAGCCTGAGGGCTGCTGGGCCTGTGTTGGGGCCCCTACCTCCCAGCAGGGGGGCATCTTATTCCCAGCCCCCCCCCCCAGCAGCCCCCCCTGGGAGAGCAGACCAGATGGAGCAGCCCTTTCCAGAGGTGTCTGGCGCCGGGCACCGGGCGCTGGCGTGCACAGGGCAGTCCGCTAACTGCCCAGGCCCTGCCGCTCTCAGCCCTGCAGGGTCCAGTGAACCCCATTCTCTCCGAGTCCCTGCAGGCCCTCCGGGACAGTGAGGCCACCCCAGCCTGAGTCCTGCCCTCGCCCTCCTCCACCACTCAGAGTCCTTCAGGGCTGCTCCACAGCGGGGCCTGGAACCTGCAGTCCCCACCCGCATGTCAGCCAAGCCCGGCCTCCAGCCTCCAGCCCCTCGCCCGCCCCTGCTTCCCGCCTCCACACTCTTGCCGCTGTTGTTCCTTCTGCCTTGAATGCCCCTCCCCGTGACCCCCAAGGCCTCACTTCAGGCAGGGCACAGTTAGACACCCACCCCCACCCAAAGACCTTCTGCAGTGACCACTCTGGAATCCTCCTGAGTTCACGCCCCCGGTTTGGTGGCCTGGGATTGCTAGTCCTTCGAGAACAGGCGCTAGGTGCTCTAGGAGGAGGCCAATGTGCTCAGGCATCCCCGAGCCTTGGGAAGGTGCCCTGGGGGCTGGTCCCTCTGCAAACTAGTCACTTCTGGCCACTTGACGGACAGACTCCGGGAGAGTCAGTCAGAGCTGAACTGACAGTCTTGCCCTGCACCACAGGGAACGTTGTGAGTTGACCCTGTGAATGGGAGATGGCGCTAAGGTCAAGGGCAGGATGTAACTGACCCCCCCACGCCCAAATGTGTGCCAAGTGCCAAGCATGTTATGCATGCATTTTCCCCTTTTGCTCATGGAGGACACTTAGGTTCTGACAGAACCCAAGTTCCTGCTCCTGACGGAAGAGGGGGGACTCTGGAGGCAGGAGACAGCTTCCTGGGGTCTGGTCTTCTTGGGTGAGGGCTCAGAGGAACACTGTTCCGGCCTGTGTCTCCAGCAGGGAATGACAAGGTGGCGTCAACCCCACAGCCCAAGGCCACACCCTGGGAGCCACAATTCTGTGAGGCCCTGTTAAATAAACCCGGTGTCCTCTAAGTGGGCCCAAGGCCACCAAAGCCTCCCCACACCCCAGGTCTGTCCTCCCTCGGGGCCATCAAAACAAGGAACACTTCCTCCTCACTGACGGCTGACCAGCCACTTTCCACAGGTCTCATTCTCTCCTCACAGGAACCCAAACTCCGAAGGAACAAACTGAGGTTGGAAAAGGAGAAATGACTTGCCCAAGGTCAAATCCAGAGAGGGCTCAACAGGCCTTGACAGGTGCCAGCCTCAGAGGCCAGGGATATGCCCTGAAGGCTCCGCCCCACAGATTTCCAAGCAGGCAGCTCTCCACAGCTAGGGGGGCCGTGCGGAATCCTCCACCAGCCCCCACACCACTCTCAGCTCTGGAGGACAGGGGTTGGGGGGCAACAGGGGCACCCACTGCACAAGAGCTGCAATGCGCTTCCTGCGGCATGAAGGCTGGTTCTCCACGGGGGTCAGCGCTAGGCCCGCGGGGTTTGAGTCAGGGCCCAGGGCGGCAGTCTTCCACCCGCACACTTCCACCACCCATGGCTGTGCATGAGGGGTGTCTACCCCCTCCTAGCCCTGCTGTGACCGCAGTGTCACCATCGGCAGCCCCTGGGCCGGGGGACTCAGGCACAGTGCTCTCCGTCCTCCAGCTCCCCCAAAGGCTCAGCTGCCCGCAGCGGGATGGGCTTTTGAGGGCAATGACCCAGTTGTTGGTCCCACTCGGCCCAGTGACTTGGCTGAACCACCTCCCCCACCCACCCAGGAGCTCTGACCCAGCTCAGCCAGATAGGAGCCGAGTGTCCCCGGCCCTCAGGGTGCAGCACAAGAGGGGCAACCCGAAGGCGGCAGGCCGAAGCGCTCTGAGCCCCCAGCCCCCAGGACCGAGCGCTCCCATTGGCTCCCGGTGACGTCAGACACCCCCCCCCCGCCTCCAGGTGGGTGCCAGCACTGCCGCAGCGAGAGGGGGGGCTCTGACGTCCTCTGTCGGTCTTCCCTCACCCATGACCTTGAGAGTTGGGGCGGGGGAGGGCTCCCAGCTGGGCTTCAGCGCGCGGGAGGGGGTAAGGGGCTGGAGGGGACCAGCTAGTACCATTCATTCCATCAACCACAACCAATTCGGTCGACCCAGACTGCACCCGGAGTAGGCCCTGACGTCGCTGCCGGGATACGGGGTGGTCCGGGGGGTCTGTGCCCCAGTAGGGCGGGCCGGGCGTGGGGGTGGAGGAGTGCCCCTGCTGCTCCCTCTTTGAGGAAGAACAGCACCCCTGGGCACTGCTGCCCAGGCCCGACCCCCCCGCAGGGTCATGGCTACAGCGTTGCCTTTCCCCACCCACTAAATAAGACGCTGAGACGCCCTCCTCATCCCCTCCCCTGCAGGGACCTCGGCCTGAAGGCCGGGTTAGCACCCCGCCCAGACCTCCCCGCCTCAGCCGGGCTGGCACTGCAGTTCCCTGGGGACCGCGGCGGGGCTGCAAGCATCTCCTAAGGAAGGAAGAGGCTGTCCTTCCGTTCTCACTCTGGTGCAGCCACCCAAACGACCAGGACAACCCTCGCGGGGTCAGGAATGTAGACAGCCCGACACGTGCAGGGAACAGAGCCTCCCCCAGGGCTGAGATGGTCAGAGGCGCGCAGCCAACGCCAGCTGGGCACCTGCCAGGCCAAGGGCACACTGTCAGTGGGAGGTGCGCGCGCTGGTGCGCGGGGCCACCCAGGCTTGCAGACAGGTCACGCAGCGCATTCCACTTTCTGCAGATTTCAGCCCTTCCCCGCAGGCCCTGACTAGCGGCCACTGCTGCAGGCCAGGGGCACCAGGGACACTAGAACCTGCTGGCCTTGCCTCCGCGGTGTGCAAGGTGAGGTGACCGAAAGCAGCTCCGCCACCAGACAGAGGCAGAGGGCTGTCCCTTCCTCCCTGCCCACCTGGCCGCCCCCCAGAGCCCTCACTCACCCCATCCCAGCACTCCGGCATCTTGCCGAGCGAGAAGGCGATCCGCCTCTACCAGGCAGGGCAAACAAAGGCCTGAGTCACCAGGGTTCAGAGGGAGGGGCAGCGCGAGGGGGAGACGGCAGCGCTGTGATGGGGCGCCGCTCCCGGGCCGCTTATATGCGGAGTCGGGTGGCCTAGGCCGGCCCCGCCTCCCTGCGGGGTTTCTGCGCAGCCACTCGCTCTCCCTGAGCCTCCGCTTCCAGATTGGCGGGCGGGAGAGGAACCTGGCTCTCATTGGCTTCTAAAGTCCTCGCTCACCCCAGCTCCTGCTCCCCCCGCCCCCCACTCCCCACCCCCAGCAACACAGCATCCTCGCTTGTCCCCAGGCCCTGCATCCCGTCCGCCCCCAGCACACAGGCACACCCCCGCAGCTGCACGCAGGGCCTGGGAAGACGAGACAAGAAGCTCCCCATACAGGTGTGTCCTGTGTCAGGTACACAGGAGCCGCACACCGACACAGGGCAGGGCAGGTCACACGGGCATGTGCCAGATGGGCTCAGCCCTTGACCCTGTTCCCTGGGAAGCAGGGAGGGCCTAGGAGGGCCCGAAGCCCAGCCTCCACCTCAGGAAGGTCTGGATCACTTAACCTTGAAGGGATGGGGGAGTAACTGTCTGGGGCAACCTTCTGTCCTGACCCTGTTCCAAGGACTGCTCCTTCTCCACTCTCCAGGGCCTCCCCTAGGGCAGCCCCCACTCCACCCACAGGCATGCCCGGAGCCTGCCCACGGCACTAAAATGGGGGCTCTGCTGGCAGGGGGCCTGGGCTGAAGGCAGGGCCAGCGGTACCGTCTGGCACACATGCCAGCTGTGCCCTCCCCACCCCCATCCTACAGCAAGTGCCGGAGGCCACCAAGGCAGAGGAGGAACGGGAGTCAGCCTGCCAGGGCGGACGTGCCCACCTCCTGCAGGACCACCGCCCCCCCCCCCCGGGGGGCCTGCCCCCCCCCCCCCGGGCCCCCCCCCCCCCCCCCCCCCCCCCGCCAGCTCTCTGTCCTGGGGCCAGCCAGTGTGGGGGGGCAGGATGCACGGGCCACCACAGGCCCCATGCCCTGTTCTCCTGAGCAGCAAGGACTTGTGCGGGGAGACGGCTAGAGACCCGCAGGCAGAGTAAACTGGGAAGGAGGGGGCGGGGGAGAGGAGGGGAGAGGAAACAGGTCAGGGAGGGGAGCCCAGGAGGGAGTCCAAGGTCTGAGAGAAGTAGGAGCAGCTGAGAGGAGGGTGCTGGGCACCCGTGTCCCCATCTGTCTCTCCCAGGAAGGAACACGCCCCCCTGCATGCTGGCTGGCAGCCCTGGGGGGAGGGGGTCACCGCCCCATCTCCGGGTGCCCGGGGACCTGGTCAACACCTGCCGTGTGTGCTATGCCCAGCCACGTCCTCCACCTGGGGCGCACCGACAACTTGCCCTGCCCCATCTGTGACCTCTGGCTCTAGGGGCCCAGCACTCTGTGCTCCCCCGGGGCAGCCAGGGTGCGGAACGGGGTGTCACCCTGCCCCTCACGGACTGGCCATGCTCCCTGTTGCCCACGGCCCCTCTGGCACAGCTCGGCTCCTGCCCTCTAGGCACTTACTCCTCCTACCTGCTCCCCAAAGGGGGCGAGGGCTGTCCGCCCACTCTTCCGCCGCAAACCCCCTGCTCTTCCATGGCCACCATCAAGCTTATGCCCAGTCCAACCTCTGACCTCTGAGGGGCTCTGCCACCCTTGGACCCCAGGGAGAAGCTAACCCTGGATACTGCCCACTCCCAGCCACGGCCCCCATTTCTGCTCAGCTCACTGGCTTCAAATCCACAGAGCTGAGTTCAAGTCCCTGCTCCCCCACCCGCTAGCCGGGTAACCCCGGGTAAGGCTTTGTAATTTCTCTGTGCCTCAGCCTCCTCAACCGTAACACAGGAATCGTAACTCAGGAACTTCCTGGGAGTTGCTATGAAGACAAGAAAGAGCTCCGTGACGGAGCTCCAGACCTGACCTCATGCCTGCCCAGGCCCTGACAGAGGAGAAACGGGGCAACCCGTGCGTCTCTCCACACTGTTGGTCCCTTCCCTGGATTGTGGCCAGACGAGGCAGGCTCAGGTCCTGCCGGCCAAACAGTGGGCCTAGTCCCATCTCCGTCACTTCGCTGCTGTGTGACCCTGGGCAAGTCAGTCAACCTCTCTGGGCCTCCACATCTGTCAATGGGAGAACAGCTGTGCTGTCGTCACAGGCAGCTGCAAGGGTAACACGCACAGTCCTCACACACCTATGGAAAAGGATGAGAAAACTAAAACACAGAGAAATACCTGTCCCTCTCGGCTAGTAAACACGGAGCTTACCCGCACCTTAGCGCTCTGGGCCTGAGGGCACGTTATTAAGAGAAACAAATACTTATTAGCCTATCTGCAGCTTGCCAGCCTCTTTCAAATGCCTTCCACGCATTACCTTATTTTATCCTAACGTCCACTTTACAGACGAGGAAAATGAAGCACAGAGCGGTTCTGTCACCTGCCCAACATCACACAGGACCAGGAACCGCACGCAGGCCACCTGCTCGGGTGCCCACAGTCACAGGGAGCTCAGGACCTGAGGGCTGGGCCTCGGGCATCGCTCCCCAACCCTACAAACACCCGGGGAGGTGTGAGCTCTCTGTCCCAAATAAGGTAGTGACATGTGCTGGGGGTCTCTCTGGCCTCCCTGCCAGGCCTTGGCCCAGACGAGGGTCATGCATCCTCTCAGCTGCTTTTCTAGGGAAAAAAAAAGAAAAGAAAAGAAAAGAAAAAAAGGGCAGCAGCCTCTGTGCGGCGTACGTGGAGAGGAGGGGCAGGTGCCTTTTAACACCTGCTGCCCTTCACCAAGCGAAGGGTCCCGCCCCAGCCCTGGGCTAGGCCCAGCCCACCGGCACAGGTGCAAAGGACCCAAGGATCCCCCTCGCCCCTTTCATGCCCCCCAGGGCGTGTTCTGGGGGCCTGGCACCGTTGGTCTGGCGGGTCCCAACTGGTGTCAGGCAGGGGCTGGCTGCTCTGGGATTTCACTTCTCTAGCGCCCTCCTGGGGCAAAGGGGCCGTTTGTCCATATGTTCCCGTCCTCCTCTGAGCTGTGAGGACAAGAAGGTCCCCGTGAAGGGCCCGCGCTGACCCCTAGCTGGGCCTGGGCCGTCTCCCGAGCACGAACCTCCTCTCCCTCCTCCTGGGCTCCCATGTGTTCCCCAGACCCCATTGTGTCCTCAGCTCCAGAGCCCTCTGTGTTCAGAACCGGTGCTCCCAGGGGGCGAGAATACATGCACACGAGCCGCTCCGAAGCCTCCTCTGGTCGCCTTGAAGGGACACACGACCCAGGGCCTGATGCACAGGCCTGGGCTCCGGGTCCCTGCTGCAGCCTGCAGGCCACCCCACCTCTCACATCACGCTGGCATCCGGACCAGGAGGCCGGGGCGGTCATGGGGCTCCGGGACGGAACCAAATCCAATGGAAGGCAGGCCCAGGCGGGGGCCATTCCAGCTAGCCAGGGGAAGGCCCTAGAAGGGTCTGCTTTTGTTCAGCAGCTTCTGAGGGCCAGCAAGGCTCTGGGACCCCGCGGAGGTTCCCCACTGTGTCTGCCCTCAGATGTTTTCTGAGGCCCGGATGTAAAGGACCACGATGGGGCTCAGGGGGAAGAAATGGCTGGTCAAGTGAGCGAACTCACCAGCGCAGAGGAATAAACACAAAGAACAAGTCCGATTTTCACAGGGAACCTGGCATCAAACTAAAGAGGACACGGTTGTCCCGGCGACAGTTTCCATGGAAATGGGAGCTATTTCAGAGCGCCAACCTCACTGGAGCTTTTCCTCATTGGAGGAAAGTGCTGATTCAGATGACAGCATCCCAGCTCCATCTTCACTTCCCTCAGGCCTCACCGCTGCTTCAGTCCCATTCAGGGAAGCAGCGGCGTGTCTCCACTGAGCAGGGGGCAGGGAAAGCTGCGCTGAATGGGGCGGGCGTGGGGGGGCTCCTGGAGGCTGCGAGGTGCCTGCACAGAAGGGTCGTGACCCTCCTCTGGGGCCAGGCTGGGCAAGGTCAGGGGCCGGGACAAGGTCGGGGGCAGGGGGCTGGCAGTCCCCCACCTTGGGGGGGCTGAGCTGAGACCTACCTTCCAGTCTGTGTCCATGGCCAAGAGGAAGGTGTCAGAGTTCTCCTGCGGGAAGGCAAACAGAGGGGCAGCATGTTAGGCCCTGGCTGGCCCAGGGGGCTCCGGGGGGCTCAGCCTGGAGCAGACTCACTTACTGTGCTCCCCGATCCATCTTAATATTAACAAAGGCGACCCAGGGCTTCCCAGGCAGCGGGTTAATTAGGTGCCTGATGGATAAGCCTACAAGTAGTTACTCATATCAATCTTACCTATTAATTTAAAATGGGAAGATGTCCATCTTACAGGTGGGAAGGGTGAGGTTTAGAGAGGCCAGGTCCCATGGCTAGAAAGTGGCGGGATCTCTGAAGCCAAATCCTTGCCGTGGGTCGCTTTGCCCTGCCGCCGCCACACGCACGCGCGTGCGCGCACACACGTGGTATTCAAGGTCAGGCTGCTGGGGCACCCCTGCGGTGGAGGCCGGGGAAGGAGGGCAGAGGTAGGCAGGACAACCACACTCACATTAGGGATGGGGAAGCAGAGACCCATCTCTGGAGGAACTGGGGGCTTTTCCAAGCTGCACAAAGGCTTTGTCTGGATCTGTTGCTGCTCCTGCCTTTCCAGACCTGCCGGCTTTGTGCTCTCCAAGCACAGAGGTCCCCTGCTTTCAGGCTCACTGACACCGAACCATGGGAGTCGCTGGTGCCCATCCTTCCCCGCTGGGCTGCAAGTGCCAAGGAGGGCGGGACCATGGCTGGCTCTGCTCTCACCATAAAGCCTGGGCTGGAATGGGCTCCCCAAACCCGGACAGATCGGGATGAATGAGTCTGACTTTGCAAATGAGGGGAACTCAGCTCAGAAGCCCCCACTGTTTGCAAGGCAGCAGTGACGCGGAGTGGAAGAGGGGAAGACACACACCCCGTATGTGTGTCCTCTGCGGGTCTGGTCTAGGGAAGGAAACCTCATGGGGGCAAGAGGGGAGCAGAGATCCTGGGCCTCTGCCTTGCTTTCTAGTGTGTCTGTCTAGAAACCTTTCCTCCCCTCCGCTCGGCTGTGACAAACCGGGCAGGCCCTCTAGCTTCGGAGCCTCGATGTCCTCGAGGATTAAAAAGAAGCGCGGTGTTAGCTGTCGCTCTGTCCTCTATCCTCCTGCACTTGACTTTGAACGCTGCACAAGCTCCCTAAGGCTCTACGGAATAAATACACGGATAAATGAGACAGTCAGATCAGCACCAGGGTGTCATCAGAGGACAGCCCAACAAGGGGGTGCTGCTAATGCACAAGACGGAAGATGACCCCATGGGAGTTGAGAGAAAAAGAGTGAAAACCAGCAATTCGGATGTTTTACTCTCAAAATAAGGAAAAGTTCAACCACCTGCTCTCTGGCAGTTAGGGCGGTGGGGGCGGTGGAGAGAATGAGACCACTCTAGAGGGTCTCCCACCCGAAGAGGAAAGCCGGGTCTCCCGCGGCTGGGGCTCTCTCAGGCACAATGGCTGCCCTCCGGCCTCCCCTCCTGGCTCCTCCCGGGCCTGGGGGGTTCTCCTTGGCGGGGGGGGGGGGTAAAGTGTGGAGGCTGCTAGGTCGCTCCTGAACCTCTCAGGGAGTGGATGGGGGTCTCCGGGAAGGGGACGAGGCTGGTTCCTGATGAATCCTCTTACAGAAAGATCATGCCCGAGCGAGAGGGCAAAGAGATAGAAGAGATTTTTATACTCAAGATGCTAAGGGTGCAGATGAGGAAGCCGTTTTGTGAAAAACAACACAAAGGATGAGGCAGATAACGGTGGGGTGTGCTGTGCGCTCTCCGCGGGCCAGGGGTCCCCGGGAGATGGGAAAGCCTTAGAGGGGGCAGGATCCCAAACCAAGAAACAGCAGGAATGATACAAGCCAATCCAGAGCCCTGGGAGGCCCTGGAAGAAGGGCAGGAACGGTGGGACGCAGAGGCAGATGGGTGGGAGAGAGGGCCCCGCTGGGGGGAGGCCCAGGAGCAGCCTGTGGGACATGGAGGATGGGGGTGTAGGCACAGGCAGAAGGAGCAACAACCCCCATGGAACCCTGGACACGCCTGGTGTCCGAGTCTTCACAGGCAAGCAAGCCCCAAATGGCTAGAGCGATGGTAGGTAAGCACGTGGGACGAGGCACTCCTCACCGGACTCAAAGAACTTGCACCCAGCAGACTGCAGAAGCTTTAAGAAGTGAGGGGCCAGACACCTTCCTGCGCTGCAGCTAGAAAAGAGAACCCGGGGAACGGCCGGAAGAGAGAGAGAGAGAGAGAGAGAGAGAGAGAGAGAGCGAGCGAGCTCGAGAATGGCTCTGGAAGGCGAAGAGAGAGGTCACAAGAATCTGCAGCGGCCACGCTGGGAGCGCACAGGTTTTTGGGTGGCTGGGGGCGGGGCTGTTAAGGCAGATGTGACCAGGTCTCGGGCATGGGGTGTGCTGAGCTGAGAGAGGAGGGAAACAGCGGGCGGGGGGGGGCCTCAGGGCTGAACTGCAGACCCCTGGCAGGGCGGGCACATCACGGTGGCAAACCCCCGCCCGGGGCCAGGTGGGATGAAGTGGGCACACCGAATGCCGCAGACAGAAGGCAGAGCCAGGCTGCTGGCCAGAGGAGCCACGCTCACCAAGTCAGGTTGGGGGGGGGGCAGTAAGGACTGAGCCAGGCTGGCAGGGACTGCAGGGGTCCCCAAGGGCACTGTCTACCCCCTACCAAGACTCGCAAGGAGGCCAGTTTCTGCTTGCCTCAAAATGGGGGGTGGTTGTGGGGAGGAGGGACTTTTTCAGAAAGTTCTGGGAAACTTCCTTCTTCCGAGACACATCACAATCTGGGATGACCCAACCCAACCCGCTCTCTTCACTGAGAGTGTTCGGGGTGCAAGGCTCGGCTAGGCCCCGGGGAGACCGGGAATGAAAGGGACAGCGTCTCTATTAGGGTGTCAGTATCTGACTTGGTGTCGGAGTAGGCCTCTCTGAGGAGGGGGCACAGGCTCAGAGCCTGGATAAAGTGAGGAAAAGTTTGGAGCTAGGCATCCCCGGGGGAAGCAGCAGCTGGGAACGTGATTGGCTGGTTCAAGGAAGAGCAGCGGGCCCCCGGGCAGGAGAGGAGGCTGGGGGTGGGGTGCGGCCCTCCTCCTGGGCCTGAGAAGGACTGGGGTTGTAGCTCGACCCAGGTGGCAGCCATGGACCAGCTTTAAGCAGAAAGGGACATGATGTATTTTAAAAGGCTGTGGAGTAAGGAGGGCACATTACAGGAGACGGGGGGCCTTGGAACAGTTTTCACCAGCTACCCCCTGACCATTCCTGGGGGCCTCCCCCCACATGCTCAGGTCTTGTCCGTTAACCCAAGGTTCTGTCTTGAAGATAAGGGGCAGGACCGCCAGCCCGATGTGGCTGGGCCCCTGGAGCCCCAGCCAGCCACTCTGTCCCAACACAAGGCACTCAGCTCCCGGCCGGAGGCTGTGAGAGGGCAGGGCAGACACCAGTGTGCCGAAGTTTTGGGGACTGGGCTCCTGGCTTCCCCACCTGTAAAATGAGGGGTGGGCGGCACAACCAGCAGAGACCCGGGGTCCCCACACTCAAGGATTCGCCGAGCAGCGGACCCACCGCTTTTCCTTGCAGGGAGGGAAAGGGAGGCTGCGCCAGGCATCACCACCACAAGAAAACGTGGGGTAGAAACAACTCTGGAATCTAACACTTGGTGCCCGGGAGGGAACCCTCCAGGACAAAACAGTCCCATTGCTCCTGATGGCACTGTGGGTCATACCTGCCCTCGGCCCTCAGAGGCTTGTGAGGAAAGACAGAGAAGGCGGGGATGAGGAACGGCCCTGCCACTGCCCAGTGGGTGCCGTCTTGGGGCTCCAGGGCCTCCCAGAACCATGGGTAGCTCTGCGACCTTGGCCAAGCTAGTTAACTTTCTGTGCCTCAGTTTCCTCCTCACTGAAATGGGAATAATTCTCCTAAAGAGCCTCCCAGCCTCGAAGACAGCCAAAGCCACAGCGCGGTGGGCTGGGTCTCAGGGTGGCGGGAGGCCTCCGGGCGCTGCTCCCCACGGAGGGTCGGCGAGACTGGAAGGAAGGCACGCGGTTTCCTTCTTGGCCACGAGGTGGCGCCCTCCGCCCCGGGATCGCGAAGGGGCGACTCACCAGCTCGGCGGCCTCCTGGCCCCGGAGCAGGGGCTTCTCCTCCGGGAATCGCAGCTCCTGCAGCCCGGCCATGGTCACGTCGTGGAGCAGGAGGCCTAGGGAGGGAAGGAGGACGAGAGTTGGGCCCTGCCCCTGAATCTCCCCGGGGGAGGACGACAGCACAAGCCCAGGCCGGGCAGGGGCACACGGGACCACTCCCACCACTCCATCCCCGCAACCGCGTCCCTAAGTGCAGCCCCAGAGCCAGGCTTCGCAGGGGCAGCGAGGCTTCATCTGCAAGATTCACCTGTTTAGCTCGGAGGAGGTCATTGTATTATTTGCTCTCAAAAGTTAAAACATGTTTAGAAAGAAAGAAAAAAGAAGAGAAAAAGCACCACAGGATGATTCTTAAAACAATTTCAAGGAAATCTCTGCATTCATTGAGATGCAAAAGGATGAGTGTGGGGAAGCCAAATGCAGGTGCGGAAGTAGACAGAAGCCCCCGGTGGTTGGAAGTGGACAGTGGGGTCCTGGAGGGCACAGGGAGGAACAGAACCAAGGGCTGTCCTGGGGCCTGGGAGGAAAAGCCTGGCTGGGGATGGCCCTGGGAGCGAGGCAAGCAGAGCGTGCAGTGATGTTGAAAGAGGGGGTGCTGGTCTAAACCAGCCAACAGCAGGGATGGATGACCGCTCAACCCACAGCCACCAGATGCCAAGGCCCAGGCCCTAACGGCTGGGTGTCCCTGGGAGACTCTGAGCCTTCGGTCTGAACCTCAGGAAGGGCTTATATGTGCACATGTGTGTATGCACGCACGCCTGGGGGTGCCTACTTGGAGGAGCCTGTGGTGGGGGCAGGGAGGCAGAGGCGATCTGTGGAGCCCGGCGCTGCCATCCTCGCTTGGACTTTATGATGGCATAGGTTAGAAGGCACCAAGAGAAAAACCAGCCAAGGAGGTGAACTGGAAATCCACAAAAGGATTAAAATTGACCAATAAATACACGAGAAAATATTAAAGCTCACAAGAAGTAAAAAAAATTTAAATTAAAACAAGATATACATACATATTTTTTGCCCACGGACTTGCGGAGTTGGTGGTGCTGGTCATGATGCACGGAAGGCCGCACTTTTCTCGTCCTGCTTGTGGGTGTATGAACTGCTACATCAGAGGGCAGTTTTGCAGAACGAATTAAAGTGATTTAAAAGGTTCATTGTCTCGGACTCAGCAATCCTCTCTCTGGAAGAGGATTTCTTCCTCTTGAAGAGGAAACCAGAGAGGGCACCTCATGATTTATCTGTAAGAATACTCACCACAGTGCCTTCTCTAATAATAATAATAAACTAGAAAAAGCTAAATGTCCACAAGGAAGGCACCAGACAAACTGTGGGTCAATCACTTGTGAATGATTATGTAATAACATGGGGGAAATGCCCGTGTCCTAATACATGGAAGAAGAAGTTATAAAACATACAGGATCATCGAGATTACAAAATAGGAATAGTCCCCACAGACGAGCCTGGAAGGATGAACATCATAAAGTTTACAGGCATCCTGGGTGGAGGACTGAAAACAAGGGTCCACAATCTGAAATCTAGAAAAACCAGCATTTTTTAGAGATGCTGTGAAGATCACGATTGGTTCCTTTTTGCAAGCATTTCACGGATCATGAAGCACTTCCTTGCGCTATTTAACTTCACCCTCGAGGGAAGCGAGATGAGGAAACCAAGAGGTTCTGGGGCATGCCCAGATGGGGCCAGGCCTGGAAACGGGGTCTTTCGATTCCTACTCTGGTCCAGTGCTCATTCCTTAGCACCAAAGCCGCCTGCCCTGGAAGGTTGGATTCCTAGCCTTCCTCCCATTTGCTCATCCTCCCTCAATTCTATTTTCGTCTTCTCAAGGCGGAAGCCCTCGGACTTTCCCTTCTGCCCGAAAGGCTGACAATCCCACCAGCTGGTTGGTGAGAAGGTGCACCCCAGCCCATCCAGCCCCTGCCCGTCCCTTCTCCCTGTGGAAGGCCCAGTGATAGCAGAGTTGGTGCAGTGAGCGCCTGGGACCCAAGAGCACAGGGTCTCAGATGGAGCCTATTTCTGTGGCCAACTGTCAGGGCACCAGGGTGCAGCTCCAGACGTTCCCTGGGCTTCCTTCCCTCCTGTTAGAAGCAGGAAGCATCAGTCCTCCAGAATATTAGGAAGATGGTGCCTCCAGATTACATGGGGGTCCCCACCTGAGTCTAGTTTGGGGTTTAGATGGGCTGAGGTTGGGCTGGGAGCTGCCGGTCACCCAGGCCTCGTGGACGGCTAACGGCGAGCTGCAGAGCCCCCTTGGGAGAGCCTCATCTCCGGCCCCGAGGAGGCCAGGCAGGGAGGTCCCTGCCCACTCAGGCCCCCCAGGTCCCCGCACCCCCACCCGCTGCTGGAGCGCGCTCCTCCCAGTGGTTTCCGGGGAAACCAGCTAACTGCAGATGGGCTGTATTTTTAGAAAGGCATCCTCTCCCCTCCCCCCTTTCTCTTCCATCCTTTCTGATGTGTGCACACTCATCCATCCCCCCGCGTGGGGAGCTGAACGAAGGGCCCCCACCTTGGAAAACTCTTCCCCATTAGGACTTTTTTTAGCTGCCAGTTTCCCTGAATAACCAACTCGATTAAACACCCTGGCAGCACTGGGGTGTCCCTCCCCTCACCCAGGCCTGTTATGAAACCATCCTCCCCAAGGATGGTGCTATTGAAAGGGCTGAGAGTGGGCAGTGCAGGGACAGATGGCCCGCGATGGAGGGGGTGGTGAGGAAGGGGGGCTGGAGAGAGACCTTGTAATCCCAGGAGCTGGGAATGTCGCAACCCAAGGGAAACACAAGGCCGCCCAGGGCCCACCAGGTGGTGATGTGGGGCTGCAGAACAGAGACATTCCCACAGGGCGCTGGCATAGAAGGTTCTTCCGAAGAAAGTTGTGGTTTAAAAAAAAAAAAGGCAGCTAGATGCTAAGTTAAAGGAAAATGAGATTTCTTATGAAATCAACACATCGTACACCTTAAATGTACATAATGTTAAATAACATTTCCATCTCAGTAAAGCTTGGGGGCGGGGGAGAGATTCCTATCAACCTCCTGCAAGGAAGCCAGGGCTCAGGTGGCGGGAGGGGGGGACATGACCCCAGGGGTCTGGGAAGCAACAGTGATGGCTCTTCTCACCCCACCCTTTTTTCTCCCCTCTGATCCCTGCTTCCCTAAAGGCAACCTAGTGAGTTAGATCCAAACAAGCCTGGCATGACTCCAGCCCTCTGCTTTCTCGGTACTTCGGCCTGGAGTCCTTGGAACCCTGGCCAGGATTTCTTCTGTGTCATTCACTGCCTAGCCTTATTTTGGGCAAATCACTGAAAGGATGCTTATCTGCAAAATGGGAACGTGAGCATTCCTCTGCCCGCCTCAGAAGTGCATCAGAGACAATGGATGGAAAAATGCTTTTTCAGTGGAAGATTTTGGTACCCATTTGGGTGAGACAAAAAGAATTTAACATAGGTGATTAGGGGCTTCCTTTACCTCCTCTGCAGACTTCAGGCAACTCTGGAGCTCTTTTCCTGCTGTCTTTTGCTCGAGGAGGGATCCCTACCTATCGGCAGGGAGACTACACTGATGTTTGCAATAGAAGGAAACACGGCCTCTTTGTGTGACAGAGACCTGTCACAGCACAGAGGAGATCTGGGCACAGGGGCTCCTGAGCAGCGTGAATATGGGTAATTCTTTAAGAGGAGTTGCGTTTCTTTTAAATTATTTTTGGTTCCTGGTTTGTGCTTCTTCAAATAGGATTCTATGCTGAGGCCTGGGCCCTGTAAACCCTCAGATGAGTTAGGGCTAAAAATATAAGTGATTGGGGCGCCTGGGTGGCTCGGTCGGTTAAGCGTCTGATTCTTGATCTTGGCTCAGGTCATGATCTCAGGGTTGTGAGATCGAGCCCCACCTCGGGCGTGGAGCCTGCTTAAGATTCTCTCTCGGGCGCCTGGGTGGCTCAGATGGTTAAGCATCTGCCTTCAGCTCAGGTCATGATCCCAGGGTCCTGGGATCGAGTCCCGCATCGGGCTCCCTGCTCCTTGGGAGCCTGCTTCTCCCTCTCTCTCTCTCCGTCTCTCATGAATAAATAAAATCTTAAAAAAAAAATTCTCTCTCTCCCTCTGTCCCTCCCGATATATATATACATATATATAATATATATATACATATATTATATATATATGAAGCAATTGCTGAGTGGAAACACTGCTCAGACAGTGGAAGACGATGTTTGGAAATACACTGTGGGGAGCTTTGTTGTCTCAGCAACTGGGGACCCCAACCAGTGGTTAGTGCCCAGGAGCCCGTGTGGGGACAGGGCTGCATGATGAAGAATAGCTCTCCAGCCCAGAACACCCATCACTGTCCCTCCGAGCCACACAGGAACCGAAGCTGAAGAAAGGCAAGACAGAAAGACAGTGAGTTGAGCATACATGGGGGGAGAAAGCATACAGGTGAACCAGACCTTATGGGGCAGGAAGAAACTGAACTGTAAGAGAAGAGGCAGGACTGTGGAATGGTTTGTATTCTTTCAACTCTACGAGTGCAGGGACCTCTGGCAGGTCATGGTGAAGGTCATGTTCCAAGGTGCCCTGTGGATGCTGCATTCCTGAAAGTCCTGGTTATAAGGTCCCATTAGTAGGAGAAAAGCCACAAGTGAAGGAAATAAGCTGCAACCAGGAGCAGAGTCCAACGGGGCCTGGCCAGCTCCACCCTGGGGGAGGGATCTGTGCCACAGACAAAGACAGACATTGCAGAGGGAGAGCACGTGACTCTTGTCGAAGCCGGTGCGCCCAAACGCCTTGCCACCCTCACCGCGCCAGCACCACGGTTTGAAAAGAATCCCCAGAAACTCGGGACCCCAGAAATGAGGAATTCCACTTCCAAATGCACTGTCTAGGGAATCTGGAACTATCTGGGTAGCTGGCCCCTTCCATCCCACTGCACCATCCTGACCTCAAAAGGCTGGGACAGCACCTTCCTGCAGCATCCCCGTTTGACGGATGAGGAAAAAAGGAAGGCGCAAGGGGGGGGGGTGACTGGTGCAGGTCCCCCTGTGGTTGACCCAGGAAGGGAAC